GAAAAAACAGGACAGGAAAAGTATTATGTCTTTGAACTTTGGTGTTGGAAGATTCCTGAGAATACCATGGACAGCCAAGAAAACAAACTGATGGATCATTGAACCAATCAACCCAGAGTTCTCACTCAAGGCACAAATGACCAGGCTCAAATGATCCTACTTCGGACACATTATGAGAAGATCCAGCTCTCTGGAAAAGGCTCTAATACTGGAAAAGGTGGAAGAAAAGAGAAGAAGAGTATGTCCAGCAGCAAAATGGTTACACTCAATTACAGTGGTGATGGGGGCACCATTGGAAGACCTGAAAGAACAGGTTAGGGATAGATCGTCATGGAGAAAATCTATCTTATGCAGTCTCTAAAAGTCGAAAACGACTTTATGGCACATAATCGAATCAAATCACTCCCAGCTGTGTTCATCCAGAGGCTGTAATAAGCTTTGGATGGAGCAAGGCACAATCACTGAAACGCTGCAGTTTCTATACAGTGTAAAAACAAGGCTGTTTAGTCCCTTGGCTTGAGTTTTCCGCCAAAGCTCCATCACTGGTTCCTGCAGACCACCACCAGAGGACGCTCTTGTTCAACCGAACTCCTCTTACAGAAACCTGGGATGAAAGCAGAGGTTCTCCCATTTCAAAGAGCGTTGAAAGGTCTGGAGCAGCGTTTCTCAACCTTGGCAACTTTAAGAAAAGCGCATCTCAAAGTTGCCAAGGTTGAGAAACATTGGTTTGGAGAGACTTATTTACATAACCCTGTAGTAACAGCAGCAGTGTGCCTCTAGGAATTCCCAACTGTCCCAATTGGTTTGGCTTTCCTGCATTTTGTTTTCCTTGATGTTGGGGAGCAGAGCGCACTTTGTTGATTCTTTAGGGCAAATGTAGTGACTCTAGTTTAAGAATTTAGGTCCTTGAGCCCTTTGGAGCCCACAAACTTTCGCAAGAGGTTCAAAAGAAGGCCACAAATAGTTATTTGCATGGCAAGCAGCAGGTCCTCAAGGAAAATAATTCTAATAGCTGGATTCCAATGCACAATTGCTTATTCAATTCCAATTAAATAATTCCAATAGCTAGATCATGATGCACAATTGCTCCCAGTGTTGTAGGCCACGTGGGGCAGGAGCCTCCTCTTCCTGGAACAGAAGCACAAGCGATTCTGCGAAGGAACAAGTTCAGAACTCCATCTGTCATTTGCATTCTGTTTTGCTTACTGTAACCTCACTTCTTCTTTGAGGGAACACCAAAAAGGAACTGACTGAAACTCAGAAGTTCCATATAGCCTAGAGGTCGCATTTGCCACCTACACACCATGCCTGGAGGCTGATTTCTTCAGCGCTAAATAAAGGACCTTGTCTGTGTACACGAAAAAGCATTTCCTTCCCAGCTCCTGGCAACTCAGAAGAAATACATCTGATTTTAAATTCCTGCAGCTCTCTGTATGACAGCAGGGTGGAGAAAAAGGCACTGCTCTTAATGTGGATTTATGCAAATCTGGACAAATTATGAAAACTAGTGATGCCGCAAAAGCTATTTCACTCCCATTATGGAAATTAACTTGTATGTTTGCCCTGTTCCCTAATCATCCAGAGCAAATTCTGTTCCTCATAGCTAAGCCCAGTGCAACTGATTCTCATGCAATTTTGTGCGGCTACAGAAAAGCCCCAGAAAATAGTACGAGCTGAAGGTTTTCATTTCCTGTGAAATTCAGCATTTGCCTGAAATGCAAGCAAGATTCTAGCAGCATGAGTCAGAAGTTTGAAAAGTGCACTTTTCATTTGTGTCAAGAGCAGAATTAGATAGATACAAGCCACAGAATTCAGTAAGTGCATTGGAACTGTTAAACACAAAACACAGACGAACTGTGACTATTAGATATATCTGAACCATCTCCCTAGGAATGCGCAGTCATGAGGAAGAGGAATTTTGGAAATAATACTTTATCAATAGCCCTGCAAAAATGGGAACACTGAATCATGGGATCACATCCTGCTGTACTTCAATTTTTACTAGGGTTACCAGCACCTATTCTTAGCCCATCTCCAGGCCGAATGGTTGCCAAGGTTGAGAAACACTGATTTAAAGTCTAGGCCTGCACATCCAACTAAATGCATTCTGAGTTTAAGGATAGCATCAGTCACAATGTACAAAAACAAAAAAAAGAAAATAAGCACTTCTTCCAGACAGTATTTTAGGGTGCAGCGTAGTACGTTGACCTATGAGATCAAGGAGTTAAGGCAGAAGAAGTAAATTCTGCTGGAAAAACAATAAGATGTATTTCTTTATTTCCAATCATAGCACTGCTAAGAAGAATATACTTTGCCATAAGTCAACAAAGATAAACGACAGGTTTAACTTACAGAAAAGTAGTCCTGGGTAATAAGAGCAATCCCCCCCTCCCAAATTCTAAAAGAGCACTTGCAAAAAACAGACATGAAGGATATATAAAAACTGGAATCCGCTACCTGAGACTTTCAGCTTGTAAACTGGGATGCAGCAACCAGTCAATGCCCCAAAATCAAGGGACTTTGTGCTCAGGGAATTTAAGATATTGGGCATAATCCAGGACCCTATTTAATCTCCTCACCTGTCGCACAGTTGACATTCCAACTTCGTTTTGGGAAGGCTAAATAGACATTTATTTATTTTGCCAAAGTCGAGTGTAGATTTATCTTTAACTATAAAGTGTCATGTCCCTAAGTTTAGTGTAAGATCAATAAACCATTGTAGACAATGCCCATATCAAAGGCTTGCAACATT